GTAGAGGCAGATATTTCTCTCTCTGGGCACACTGAGAATATATCTGCTGAACAAAACTCTGCATTGGCAGCAGGAAGGGCATCCGGCCATTAAAATACCTTCTAGCTCCATTCAGTTGCCCCACAAGGGATTATGGAGTTGTTAAATGACGATAATAAGAGTCAGGCAATCATTATTCGTGACCTTCCGAGCCAGCTTCAGACAAGCAAAATCAACTAGGAAAGCTTGAGTTGTTTAACAGCTGCATGATTCACCTAACAACTGCAGTTATTCACTTAACAACTAGGGCAAAAAAGATCATAAAATGAGGCAAAACCTATTTAACAACTGCCTTGCTTAGCAAAGAAAAATTTGGGCTTAACTGTGGTCATAAACCAATGAGTAGAGTCCTTCCGTAGTTCCTGCTTACCTGAGAATATACCAAATTATCCCACTACCAAATTATCTGAGAGTAAATTTAATTGAATCAGTGAGTGTTTATTCTAAGTAGGTAGTGCAAAATGACAGAGAATAAAAAAATGAAGTCCATGGGAGGAAAACTCTTCCCCCACCTGTGCAAGCCATTCACCAAACAGACTGTTCAGGATTGCCCCAGATTGAAGATTTTAGGAGGTTCAAGTGAACAGAGAAGCAATATAAAAGGATGAGAAAAGCCTTCCTTATTTACTCTTTTATGTTAGGTTTATCTTAGGAACCAAGTGTACTTTTTTCCCCCCCCCAGTGGACTGCCATTCCAGTCATCTGATTTACCCAAAAGAGTGTAGCCAAAGTGGAGCTGAAAATTAATTATACTTTTAATCCATCCAATAACTGAAGTTAAATCATGATTACAATAAAGCAAAAAGATCCAACATGATCTTCCGCGTGACACCGACCAGTGTTTCCTCCAATTGCTCAATGCTAACAAAGTGGTTTGCCCAACTTTGGAAAGACAGAAAGCTTGCATCTATGACTCATATCTCCTTCCAAATATCTGCTAAATTATTCTGCATAGATGGCCAAGCTACGGTTCTAATCTCCTCATATCACTCAGTTATTGCATATTGTTTGCAACATCAATTCCACAATAAATAACCTAGTGGCACCAACATATACAGTACATATTATACTGAAAGCTACTAAGGCAGTCCTCTAACCAATGTTTCTCAACTTCAGCAACTTGAAGATGAATGGACTGGGGAATTCTGGCAGTTGGAGTTTAGATATTTTATAGTTGCTGAAGTTGAGAAACATTGGTTAGAGG